GAGAATATCAGTATTTGTGCATTCTTACAGATTGATACATTGCACAAGTGGCCCAGGATGCTAGGGATTGTAATGGTAACATTAACCGTTTACTTATAAGGAAACATTCACAATTCATTGACCGAGCAGTCAATACTACTTTCATTTGAAATTTATAAAATCTCTCTCTTAAAACAATTTTTCAAGAAAATAAGTTTCTCAATTGCAGTGGCTGTTATCGCTCTTTCCAGTATTAACAGGGACTTCCTTCCTAACCTTTTGTTTCAAGTAGTGTGAACCTCATCTTAATTATGTCATTATTTTCTCTTTGAGATAGATGTTCTGTCTATTTTAGTTGTTGCAGCTGTTGAAAGTCAACTGATGAGATTTCTGATATTTGGTACAGTTCAAAGTTCCTTGCGATACTTTGTGAGCACTACTCGACAAGAGTTGAAGAAAGATAGTCTTTGCTAAGATCTACAGCCTTCATTCACTCAGACATTTTCAATCATTAATCTGCAAAAATGGTTGTATAAAAGCTTACAGTTCAGCTATTTCTGAACAGGTTTGGCAACATGAATGACGGCTATTTGAAAATTTCGACCTGACAAAGTTATATAAGAACTTTGAAGATTTTGGCTAATGTTTTAGAATTGTAGCAACTTGCAATGTTGGGCAAATGGGTGTTTTTATCGAGTTGCCATCTCTAGATATTTTGTCAATTAAAGCTGAAGAGCTTCTATCTGTACATTTAATAAAACCATCAATGGATTCCAAACTGTTTTGTCAACATCATTTCACAAGAAATACATGGAACAACTAGCAGTTCTCATGCACTTCCCCCATATTGGGATTATCTCTCCTGGTTTGATATAAAGAAGTCAAGAAATCTTGGCCAAGAGAAAATGGTCAGCTGACAATGGAAGAAAGACTGATGCAAAGAGTTTTGTTTTCTTTCTAAATAACAAAATATAAACTGAGATGTTACTGAAGATGTGTACATGATATCACTCCTTAGGCATTTCATTTCTCATTGATGGATAAAGAGAAATTACATTGATATCCAAATTTACAAGCCACATCTAATTAATAAAAAAGAATTCTCAACATTTATATGCATCTATACATATTTGATGGCTGTAAGTTCTGTACTAAATCATAATGTACAATTATTTTAGAAAACATGTTTTTTAAATTGTGATCAAATTGTTACTAAACAAAGCCATAGTTGCAGACATATATGCATCACATTCTATTTAATACTAGTTGAATTACCCATGCCTTGCTGCATGCCACACTTTTTTTTGTAAGATGATGATTGATTCTAAATCATTGTTATAATTTGTGAAGAAAAATGATGCATTTCAATATTACTCAATGATCTTCCCAATGTGACATCCATCTTCTGGCTTTCTCCTTCTATATTTTGGATAGGAGTTAATGCCTTATTCAAATTTAATTTAAATCAAAGGGAAAATAATTTTCAGTGGTGGTGAGGTGCTCCCTGGGGACCCTCTTTGATCAAAATGAAATATACTTATCCAAGTACCCTAGGCAATGTAGTTTCAGAATACATGTTGTTATATCTCAAAAATCATAGGATAATTTCAGTAACAAACAAACACAGAGGTTACAATAATATATATATATATATATATATATATATATATATAATATAGAGAGAGAGAGATTACAGATGCAAAAATCAAGCAGTTACAAAAATTTAAACATCTAGGGAGTGTTTTAAGAGGATGAAAAATAATACATTGAAATCTAAAGATGCATAGTCAAAGTAGCCTTTCAAAAACTAAGCAAAGTATTAAGAAAGAGGAAAATTTCATTAAAATAAAAAAGACAGTGCTGTCAGTCCTTTTATATGACAGTGAATGCTGGACAGTCTCCTCACAGATGAAGACAAGACTTAAAGCAAGATTGTACAGAAGGATGCTGAGAATACTATGGACTGAACATGTGAATAACAACAAAAGGCATTTATACATAACATCAGAGAGTTGAAATTTTTAAGGCACATAATGAGGAAAGAAGGCTTAGAAAATTTGACACTGACAGGATATATTGCAAGCAAGATGGACAAAGCATAGCAGCATAAACCTATCTAACAAGCTTGTGTAAATGGTTGGCAGGAAATAGATAACAAAAGACAAACTTTACTAAGAGCTGCAAATAGCAAGAAAATATGGAGGGACATGATGAGATATGGCACATAGATTATTGGTATTTGGTTCAAATGATACAGTTTCCTGTCTTACTGAACAGGTTTGTATGTGTGCTCAAGAATAGATTTTCTGAAACTATTAACAATCTTTCAAAGGAGTCTAATTGAAACGAATGAATGTTGCCCTCCTGATCTGGAACAAAGGTCTAGAATCCTTCTTGGACCATATCTATTCATGTCTGATGTAATCAAGACTAAGGAAGCATCATGATAAAGACTGCAACATGGAATCCAGTATTTGTTTATCTGGGTTGACTAAATAAAAGCAAAACTTAATATTAAAGAAAAACAACAGATATAATGAGCAATTTTCTAGACAAGCTTTAAATACTTCTATCTATATTTCTGAGATGACGTAACTTTTTACACTGTTTCGACTGTTCTCGTCTTTGTCATATTCATAACATTTTGTCTTTCTAAAAGTGATATACTTTAGAATTTCAAACTGAACCCTTTATTTAGTCCACTTGGTAGATTGTTCTAGTTCCACATGACATGCCTTTTCTAAATATCTCAGTATCAATTATTTCCCTTTAGTAACTCAAATCACCAACATTTTGTTTGCTTTTGCTGTTGCCAGGTATTGAACTCACAAATCCTTGGGTGAAGTCACTAGATTACTTCAACCAATGATTTTATCCACTGGGCCATATGGCAATAAAGATGAGGAAAACAGTCTAAAAAATGTAAATAGTCTAAATAGTTACAAGACCTCATCTTAGAAATATAGGCAGATATTTTAGCAATATGCATAAAAATAGAATCATTAATAAATTGACCCCAAGCAAGGCAAGGGGCTACTGAGAGTGAAAGAGGATGTCAAGACTTAGGAGGAACTGAAAACCCAATCCTAAATAGGATATACCTCTACTCCTGTTCAAAAGACCAGAGAGGAGTGTGCTAAAATTGTTGCTGTCATTCATTTTTGAAGTTAGTCAGAAAACTTAATTTTCCATTTTTTTTAATCTGCCTATATTTCTGAGATAAGATATTGTAACTATTTACACTTTCTACATTGTTCAGACAGTTGTCCTCAGCTTTATTGCCATATTCACAACACTTCGGCTGTTGTATGCACCACCCTTCTTCAATTGATACACATTGGCTCAGTGGATAAAGGTATTGGTTGAAGTAATCTAGTGATTTGACCCAGAGAGTTATAAGTTCAATACCTGGCCACAGTAGAAATGAAGAAAAACTTGGAGATTTGAGTTACTAAGGGGAAATAACTGAATCTGAGATATTCAGAAAAGGCATGGCATGTGGAACTAGAATAATCTACCCCAGTGGATTAAATAAAGGACAAAGCTCAAAATTCGACTGCAACAAAATCATTGTTATGCCACAAACATTGACAGAACTGCATGTGAAGAATCACTTGGGTAGTTCTTTGGCTCAAATAGTGTCATCAAAAACCTGTTACTCTTGTTTACAACTTTAACGGGGTCCAGATCAAGAATATAATACAAATAGATTAAGCATCCTCAGCTCTTGAGCCTTGACTAGCAGCCAGTCTAGAAAAAGACAACTGCAGGTCCGAAACCTGAAGAAGGTGAGCATAAGCCACTTCTTTATATTTCTTGTGACATCATTCAGATATTAAAGGGATGGAAGTCGTGGAGAGCTTTGAATACTAGCATCTGAAGCAGTATAGCATTTTAAAATTTAATACATACATTTATATACATGTATAACATAAACATATATTCACCATTCAAAGAGTTCTGTCATTAAAGTAGAAAATGTAATTTAACCAAACAAAAATTTTTGGCCAACCCAGTATAATAATTTGTGGGCCTCATTGAAATTGTGCAGTTGTTGATAATGAGGATTATCCCTCATCTCACGCCTCTGTTCTCTTCTCGGCCTTTGTTTGGATTTTCTCATTTGTTCCCTTATCACTTTGTTGCTCATCCATGTTTAAATGGCCATGTTACACAAACATGGATTATTTTGATATTCAAAAAAAAAAGAATAAGGTATGCATTAATATTTTCTTTTTACATTGCCCTCTCTTTTATCTTCCTTTTGCTCTATCTCTCCTCAAAGGATTTTAATTATGTTTTTACACTGCTTCATCCCTCATCCTTAACTGCCTTTCAATTTCTTGCTCATTGTCATGCGATCCAGTCATCAATCTTATCTCGTCGTGTCTCTTTTGTCCTCTTCTTTTGTCTCCCTTCTTTTTTCTTTCTCTATGCAATGAAAAGGTGGGCGAAATAGTTACATATGTGTATATTTACTCTTACTGAGGCACAGTAGAGTGATGGATGACAACCAGTCTAGATGATTATCTCTGAATTAAAAACCTGATGAGAGTTGTTATGAGTTACAGACCGAGAGCAACCCACATCGTATGCCATAGTCTTTGAAAATCGGTGGTGATTGGTGCTACCAAGCTATCTGAAAACCTACTGAAAGGATCACAAGATGGAAGAATCAAACACCATGCCAGAATGATGGATCAGCCTGGTGGAGGTGGTTTATTTCTTCTGCCCTCAGGTCCTCCCAACGAATGAAGCAGTCAAGAGTCTGTTGAGGAAGATCCCTATCATATTGGAACACCACAATCGATAATGGCTTGGATTTGGAAAATGAATAGCCAATTTCCAATTCCAGTCAAGTTCATTATATTAACTTGTACACAAATACAAAAGAATAAGGTAATTATGTGTTTTCATAAGCAATGTTTATTGGATGACAAGGGATGTTTATTCATTTCATTGTGCCAAACTTTGAAATATATGCTTTCTCATCTCTTAAATTCTTTTAATGGATAAAATAGATGTACACAAAGATATCACATTACTTGTTTATCTATAAACACATCTGTGTGTCTATCTATCTATTTATCTATCTACCTACATATTTGTATAATTTTAAATGTTATTTTTAGTGGATACTTGAGAAGGTCCTTCATTTATTTATTAAACAGTATATTTTTTTAATTTACCAGCCTAAATATTTTTGAAATCTTATAAAAGAAAATGTGTTTTCCAGTAGGATTCAAATCTGCATTTCCCTGAGTAAAGGGAAACCCTCATTAAACCCAACAGGACTTAATCAATTTGGCTACGAAGGAGATTGTGGATCAAGGAAGGTTAGAACAGTCCATTTCTTTAATAAGATTTCACAAATATTCAGGATGGTAGACAAAAAATAAATAAATACTAATAACGACATTTAAAGTGATAAAAATCTGATGGATTAATACATAAAAGTACATTATTTCTTTAGAGCATGCATACACACATATAAATATATATTTTAAGCATTTCACTCCAAGCAAGGCAGGAGTGCCACTAGCACATAAGGGGTTACAGAGTTAAAGTTAAGACGGTTGTTTGAGCAAAGGATATCAAAGGAAAGGGATTGAGATCAAGGCATCAGAAGATGTCGATTGACATTATATTTGAATATTTGAAGATTATAGCTATAAGGGAAGTAAGTAGAAGGAATGTATTTCCAGGAAGTGCAAGAGAAGAAGCTGTTGGATTAGAAGAGGCAGTTACTTTTAACTGTTTTGACAGTGAAAGAGTTGGACCGAGATTGCCAACCTAGTAGCAGGCTAAAATTTATGCCGTTGGGGTACCAGTGAAAGTAGCTTGTCACAGCAATTGCCATGAAAATATTTGTAGAAAAGAAAGAGGGAAGCCACTGCACATCTGGGAGAAAGTGACTGCAGACAAGATGCCAGATCAGGACCTATCACATTGTATATCCTCATCTGTATTTTGTCAAAGACCTCAAGATGAACAGCGGGGACACCAGACCATATATGGCAACAGTATTATACACACACACACACACATATATATATATATATATATATATATATATATATATATATATATAATTAAAAATTACGACAAATGTTATAAAAATATAAATATTTGTAGTGATTTTATAACATGTATGTCATAATTTCAAATAAATTATATTTGCTTTACTCTGTATTGAGCACTGTTTTCAGAATAAAATTTTTTGGTTATTGGAATTCTGTATACAACAATCCTATATTTGAAGAATATATATATATATATAATATATTTCTTTATTTATTTATGCAGTTTTACATTAGAACATGCACATATCCACTACAAAATTGTACATTTTTGTTTCAACGTAAAAAATGGAGAAACCTTTTTTTAGACGTCTCATCAGGTAGGGAACTATGGTGTTACATACCATAGATAAATAAATATTTACTGCTCTACTTTATGTATTGAGCATTATTTTTAAATTAATGTTCTGAACACTGTAATCTTACTGTTCATTCTACAATTTTATATATATATATATATGCACACACACACACACACACACACTCTTCTTTTTGTTCTACTCACCTTCCTTACCAAAGCTTAGTCACTGACTAGTTTTGAATACAGTTTTCCTTCTACACTAAATGACACCTAAAGCTAAACGATCCAGTCTGTCCTGTTATTTACCCATAGCTGGTAGAGAAGCGATGAATCCATACCTTTCTCAAATGTATTTGCACATGTGACAGGGCTAATTATATATTAACCTTTATATATGAAGAACATTCTGTGGAGAATGATGCATGACAAAGTGGAAAATGTTTTGTGACGAGTTTTGTCATTTAGGACTTCTTCAGACTGTTTGTTTGGTGTGACTACACATGTGCAAGAACAAGGGACACAGTGAATTTCATGTGTTTTTGGTATATAATCTTGTTAATTTCATTTAGATTATTTTTCTTTACATCACCTTTGTTATTAAATATCCCACATTGTAATAGAAGATATATCAAGAATGGTGAAACATTGTAAGAACTAGAATGAAAATTTACTGTGGATAAACTAGAGATTAAACCATTTTCTAAACATTTTCATCTTAGTTGTTTTCTCTTCCTATGAGAGTAGCATTTTTATGTTAAAATTGTGATCAGTCTCATTATGGTGAGGAACTTGTGTATTTGATGTATTGTTTTGTAAAATATCCCTTTTAGGTTCATATCATCTTTTATTTAAATCTTGGAGGTTTCTTCAATGTGTTCTTTCTGACAATCATTACAATCTGAACTGTAAGAAGAAATTAACTTTATAGGAGTTGTCATTTACTAAATTTAACCTAGTTTAGCACAAGGATAAATGTATCAGATAAATAGTGAGGGTTGAATTCATCAATAACATTCAATCATATGAATGAGATCAGTAACAGTTAGCCCAGTTGTAAAATTGGGTTCTTTTTTTTTCTTTTGTTTACCTTTACAAAGCCTCATTATCTGCCCTTGACTCAGCAATAATTGATGCACATGTCAATGAGTGAGAAATGTGTCATGTGGTATACAGACAAGAGGCACAATATCCATGTCATTTTGATTAGTTGGAGCCCATCCGTCAGATCATTAGCACCTGTATTTCCAGGCTTCAAGTTCTGTTTCAGTGTTAATAGCTAAATCCTCAGCATGGACACAATATACATCCATGTCAATTCACAAATAAGAGCTTAATTTGTGCTTCTTGTCTGGGCTCTTTAATATGTATTAAATTTGCTGCATGAACAAAGTTAAGTTTAATTCTAGTTTCTGTAAAAGTTTTCTCTCAAATGCTATACATGTGTCCCTGTTTTTATTCACCCACATACAAAAGGATTACTCTACCATGAGTATAGTAATGCTAGGTTGGGAGGTAGGAGACATGTTGTAGAGTTCTTGGAAAGAAGAAGAAAAAATTAACACCGTCTTCTGTCCAGGGCTCAGCAGAGGAATTAGTATAACATTAACATCATTATAGGATATAAGACAGGACTAGAACGACTCTCTCTGTGTCTTTATTCCACTCTCTCTCTCTCTGTGTCTTTATTCCACTCTCTCTCTCTCTGTGTCTTTATTCCACTCTCTCTCTCTCTGTGTCTTTATTCCACTCTCTCTCTCTGTGTCTTTATTCCCTCTCTCTCTCTGTGTCTTTATTCCTCTCTCTCTCTCTCTCTTTCTTCCTCTTCTCTCTCTCTGTCTCTTTTATTCTCTCTCTCTCTTTTTTTTATTCTCTCTCTCTCTCTGTGTCTTTATTCTCTCTCTCTCTCTCTCTGTGTCTTTATTCCTCTCTCTCTCTCTCTGTGTCTTTTATTCCTCTCTCTCTCTCTCTCTCTCTTTCTCTCTCTCTCTCTCTCTTCCTCTCTCTCTCTCTCTCTCTCTCTTTTTCCTCTCTCTCTCTCTCTCTCTGTCTTTTTCTCTCTCTCTCTTATTTTTTATTCCACTCTCTCTCTCTCTCTGTCTCTTTATTCCACTCTCTCTCTCTGTGTCTTTATTCCTCTCTCTCTCTCTCTCTCTGTGTCTTTATTCCTCTCTCTCTCTCTCTCTGTGTCTTTATTCCACTCTCTCTCTCTCTCTGTGTCTTTTTTTCTCTCTCTCTCTCTCTCTGTGTCTTTATTCCTCTCTCTCTCTCTCTGTGTCTTTTTATTCTCTCTCTCTCTCTCTGTGTCTTTATTCTTTCTCTCTCTCTCTCTCTCTGTGTCTTTCTTCCTCTCTCTCTCTCTCTGTGTCTTTATCTCTCTCTCTCTCTCTCTGTGTCTTTATTCCTCTCTCTCTCTCTCTCTGTCTCAAAATTTCTTCTCTCTCTCTCTCTCTCTCATCTTTATCTCTCTCTCTCTCTCTCTCTGTCTTTTTCTCTCTCTCTCTCTCTCTGTCTTTATTCACTCTCTCTCTCTCTCTCTTCTCTTTATTCTCTCTCTCTCTCTCTCTCTTTATTCTTTTTCTCTCTCTCTCTGTGTCTTTCCTCTCTCTCTCTCTCTGTGTCTTTATTCCACTCTCTCTCTCTCTCTGTGTCTTTATTCCACTCTCTCTCTCTCTCTGTGTCTTTATTCCACTCTCTCTCTCTCTCTCTGTGTCTTTATTCCACTCTCTCTCTCTCTGTGTCTTTATTCCACTCTCTCTCTCTCTGTGTCTTTATTCCACTCTCTCTCTCTCTGTGTCTTTATTCAACTCTCTCTCTCTCTCTCTTTATTCCTCTCTCTCTCTTGTTTTATTCCTCTCTCTCTCTCTCTGTGTCTTTATTCCATCTCTCTCTCTCTCTGTGTCTTTTATTCTCTCTCTGCTCTCTGTGTTTTTTTTTCTCTTTAAATTTTTTATTTTCTCTCTCTCTGTGTCTTTATTCCAAAAGAATTTTTCTCTTCTTCTTCAACTCTTTTGTCTTTACTTTTAACATTTCCATCTTTCCTCCTCATTCATTTCACTCTGAACAGACATTTTCTTACCCCAATATTTTCTCTTTACCCTCTTACTTTTCCTGTCATTCTACCCCAACCCCCATTCTTTTCTTCAATTTTTCACACCTCACCAACACTCTATCTATTCATAGTTGGTCATAAGTCCACAAAAATTGTGCTATAATATAAGAAATGAAGCTCACAGACATTGGTAAAAATAAAACGCTGTCATTCATTCTGGGCCCGCATCCAAGAAACTTAAGAACAAACCTTCACAGTAAAGAATGTCTTTGAGACATCAAAACCCATTGTATTTCTGAAAGAAATAATTATTCTGCCTTGTTGATCTCATCTTTTTCTTTTGTCATTTCTTTCTCTAAAATGCATCTTGGATGTAATCAACCATTTTGGCAACTTTCTCAAATAGTTTAACATCTTCATCCTGTCACTGTACTTTGACCACAATGCCTTCATCTTTCTTTTTGTCTGATGAAGAAGAAAGTCTCATGTGCAAAATACTTTGCTCTGCCGATTTATTTTCCTTTCATGTATCTGAAGGCATTGATAGCTTTCTATCCTATCGGCTCCAGCTACACCTTTTCATAGAAACATTTAGGTAATAGTCTTTCTTTGATAGAGGCTTTACTAGACAAGAATAGTTTTTAGGCATCTATACTGGAAGGGCATCCAATCAAAGATTGAAATAAAAATTTAATTTCTATTTAATTTGAATAAAGAGTTTTTCATTTTTCATCTGTTTTTACATATTTAAAATGTCTTCCTTTCTCACATTTCTCAATAGTAGGCCCTATAGCACCCTTACTTGAGTCTTCATATCATACATTCAAGGAGTTGGCTTCAGGCATCACCAAACCTCTACACAACACTGGTTTTGTGTATTGTTGTTGCTTATATACAAAATAGCATATTTGGTTTCAATGACACCTTTCGATATAATGAGGTTTTGGTGCTAACTCATTTGACTTAAGCATATGCAGTCTTGTACTAAGCAAGAAAAGTTGAGAAACATTTGATAGATACATTACCAATTTCCTTTTGCCACGCCATCTGTTTTCCCAGACCAAGAGAAGTCATATAATAAGAATTCAATAATACACATCTCACTTACAGGTTATGCATCTCTCCTTTCTTTTTAGTATCACTGTTAAAACTTAAAAGAAACTATAAAACATCATGTACTATACACAATGCTACCTGTGATTGTGTAATGAATTAATCTTGCAATCACATGAAATGGTAATATTAGTTATTTCCTAATAATGAATTATTTGGCATTCATTGACCGAGCAGCCAGTGCTACATTCAGATGAGATTTACAAAATCTCTCTTTTAAAATGATCCTTCACGAAAATAAATTTCTGAAGTCCACTTAGTGTTATTGCTTCTTTTTCCAGTACTGATGGAGACTTACTTCTTAGCCTTTTTGTTTGAAGTATTGTGGAATGTCACTATCTTGATTGTGGCATTATTTTCTCTTCAACTTACATGTTCAATCCATTTGAGCAGTTGCTTTGTTCAAAGTCCTCAAATGATGTGGTTTCTGGTATTTTGTACAGTTCTTTGTGATTCTGTTGGACTTGTCTACAAGTTTTGAAAATCATGATTTTTTGCTAAGATCTATAGGTTTTTATTTACTTAAAGACATTTTTAACCTACTGATGTAAGAAAACATTTGTATACCACTGACAGTTTAGATATTTCTGAACGGGTTTGGTACCATGCATAATATCCATATGAAAAATTGACACAATTTGAAGACATAATTTGAGTTTTTCGACTAATGTTTTGGTTTTGTAACAACTAGCAGTTTTGTGTGAAACTATCCATAAAACAGCCAATCTACTGTTCAGTTTCCTTATTTCTTATGCTAAATTTGTTAGAACATTGAGGTATTTGAAGTGTTTTAGTATTTACTATTTATTTAGTATTTACTATTTCAGCATTCTGAAATTTTATGATGGATTCAGAGTATGTACTACCATTGCTTTCATTCTAATTTTGGATCAAAATTTCTGCTTTGGAAAGGTTTATCTTGTGTCCCATTTCTTGGAACAATTGGTAGAGAATATTGATTTTCTGTTCAAGAACATGCTTATCTCAACTACGAATACCTATGTCTTCAGTAGATTGGCCTCAAGAAGAGAAGCAGGATTGCGGTTTTCTATTAGTAGATTCATTTTGGATACAGTACGGAATGTTTAAATGATCAGTGCCAATATTTTCATGTCTGTGCTTATATATGTGCAGAGTATAGTCTAGGAAGAGGTTAAATAGATTAGGGCTCTCATTGGCTTTTTGTTATGGTTTGAAATGTTGGTTTTGGGTCCTTGTCAGGTGTATGATTTTGTGGAGTTCCAAACAATTAGTTACCTGAAAATTGTTGGTATACCTGTGAAAAAAAAGTATTTGTTGCAGGCTGGTGTATGGGTTGATAGATAAACAGGTGTGTTTCCTGAAATACCCACAACAAATCTGGCAGACTTGGGATGTGAGTCCATATAAAGAAATGTAAGGACACAACAAGAAACAATATATACGTACTAACAAATGATAATGTATTAGCAATAAAGGGTGATGAAGACAAATATGTGTATGTTAAATAAATGTGAAAACCAAATGGTCCAAAGTATGTGTAGTGAGTGAATGTGTGTATGTACAGTTGTTGTGTATGTGTAGTTAGTTTGTGTGTTTCCCAAAGTGAAGCACATTCTCTGCCAGAGACTTACATGTTGATGAGTAAATGGAAAAAGTAAAAGAGTGAGAAAAATATTGTAGAATATTTATAGTCCAGAGAGTGTCCCTTGTAGTGGTTTTGAAAATTAGGAAGAGATTTAAAAAAAAAAACAAATTCATTTTGTTTCAGATGAATTCTGACTTTCATTAGTCACCAATGATCTACATAATTGTAAAATTTTCAAGGAATTTGATGCTGATAAAATATTACATACCTTCATGGTTTACAGCATAAAAGAATCCCATCTTCTGAATTTCGCAGGGAATATTAAAAGAAATTAAACTGAATGTGAATGAAATTTTATTCTGGTCTCTGATTTGCACCATTCTTGCGCATTTGTGAGAAATTTACAAGAAT